CCTTTCCCTCTCGCTTCCCCTTGATACAATCCAATCAAATTCCATGAATCGACCAAGTTAGACGTTCTTCCAACCCCACCAACACAGGAACACAAGGAGGACCAGAACTCTGCCCCTCTGTAAACATCGCCGCTACTTCGGAGTACATCTAAGAGCTATCTCCCTTGATTTTTTTTAATCCCCTACCTCCTCCTGTCCTCTTCTCTCTCTCTATCCATCTTGGCAATTCCATCTTCTCCCCTTCTCTCCCACTTCTCTCTTCTTTCTCTCTAATAGCACCTCTGCTCTATAATACCCGACATCATCATCCAAAATGTCTGCCCCCAACCACGAAGATGATATTATGCCTGAGGAGACGCAGGGCTACAAGCTCTCCCAGCCCAAGCAGAGTCTGGCCGAATACCAACAGATGGGTGAGTGGTGTTTAGGGAGCGGCCACGCTTCCGATGCCCTATAACAAACAATTCTTGACATCTCGGGGGGGATGATGATAATGCCACTGTTCTGGTGATGGTCCACGTCTCCTTCTTACYTYTCTCTCTCCCTCCCYCCCTCAGCTACCCCGCGATGAACCTGTCCCCTCCCCCGCCCCCTTTTATCCATCCATCACCAGTCGCAACACTGAATGACTGACTGATTGGTAAACACAACAGACGCCAACGATGAATCTCTCCAGCGTTACAAAGAGTCCCTAGGCCTGGGATCAGGCAAGGACATGTCCGACCCCAACGACCCCCGCGTCTGCATCATCGAGTCCCTGACTATGGAGTCGCCCGGCCGCGACCCCGTCACCATCGACCTCTCCGAGAAAGGCAGCGAGAACACCCTCAAGGACAAGCCCTTCAAGATCAAGGAGGGTGCCAACTTCACCATGAGCGCCAAGTTCCGCGTCCAGCACGAGATCCTCAGCGGCCTCCACTACGTCCAGGTCGTCAAGCGGAAGGGCATCAAGGTCTCCAAGGACTCCGAGATGATCGGCAGCTACGCTCCCAACACGGACAAGCAGCCCAACTACGTCAAGAAGTGTATGTTTCTCTACACGCACACACACACGCACACACGCACACTGTGTCTCCCTCCCTTCTCCCTCTCCTCTGCCCTCCTCTCCAACTGCGTACCCTCTACTTTTATTGAACACACCCCTCTAACATCTCCCAAGTCCAAGAGGAAGAAGCCCCTAGCGGTATGCTCGCTCGTGGCCACTACAACGCCGTCTCCAGCTTCGTCGACGACGACAAGAAGACTCACCTGCTCTTTGAGTGGAGCTTCGACATCGCCAAGGACTGGTAGATCATCGCCCATCATCTACCTCACACCGCGCGCCCGTCAAACAAACAATACCCAGTCCCCACCCCCCAATCGAGATGCGGATGAACCACTCCTTATCATGAGACAACGACTACAAATCTTTACCCCTCAGTTATTATAACCTGAAAAATAAGCGAAAACTTTTAAACAAGCGAACAAAAAAAAATCAACCTAGCCAGCAAAATCATACATGTGTATTCTTGGAAAAAGAAGAAGAAAGAGGGAGGAAGGGACACTCGTTTGGCTTGAGATTATATGTCATAGTCATACCACTCCCTCTTCCTCTCCGAGTATGTGGATTTCGACATGTGAAAGTAAATGAATATATATGTGTATATACATATATATATATATATATATATATATTCCCCATGCCTTTTTGCCTTTTGCCTTGTGTGTGTGTGTGTGTGTGTGTGTGTGTGTGTGTGTGTGTGCTGTTGTTGTTGTTATTGTTGTTGTTGTTGTTGTTGTTGCTGCTGCTGCTAAGCAAACTCATCTCTCGTCGTTCTGATATGACGTACTCTTGACATAGAGGGCAGTGCGTTGACCTATGCATGCCCCGATATATAATCCCCAAGTTCCCTAGACGTGACGAGTGAAGACTCCCATTGAGGGCAGTTGTTGGCCCCCTACAGAAAGTAGTTCGGCAGCGCGCCATCTGCCACTCTCTCTCCACCCTGCTGTATATCCTTGTGGACGTCATTCTCGGGCGCCGCAGCGAAGACGTTGAAGAAGCGCTCCCCGTTGACGCCAACCTCCAGCACGCTGGCCATGTTTCCGCAGCGGTAGCAGTAGTTTGGTGCGCTCCAGACCGTGCTCAGCCTGTCGTCGTATAGGACCTGGAAGCCCTCCTGGCAGAGCTGGTGGGCGCGCAGGATGTGGCCCATGCCGTTGACGGCCAGGAACTTCTTGACCACCTGGGCACCAAAGGTATAGCCCGCACCCCTTGGGCTGAGGGAGAACTCGTCCCGCTCCGGGTCCGGGTCCGACCACACCAGGTCGGCCATGGGGCCTTCGTGGGGGATCTCGCGGAATCGGTCGATGATTTTGATCTGATCGATCGAGTGGATAGAGGGGGACAGGCCTGTTTCGCATCCCGAACAATTAGCAAGAATAGAGATAGAGGAAGAAAGAGGGAGGGAGGGAGAGAGAGAAGGAGATGGAGGAAGAGAGAGAGAGAGAGAGGAGATAAGATAGAGAGGAAGAGGGGTAGCATGGTACGCACCCCCGTGGACGCAAAAGATCTGATTATCGATGACCACGCTGAGCGTCAAAAAGTCAAACATGTCGGTAAAGTAGTGCCACACGTTGGCGTTGCCGTACTTTCTCGAACACTCGGTGTAGAAGCCGTACGACTGCGTGACGCCTCGGGACTCATGGTTGCCGCGGATCAGGTGCACGCGATTCGGGTACCGAAGCTTCAGGCAGACGAGGAGTGATATGGTCTCGACACTAAACATGCCACGATCGACATAGTCGCCTGTATCGAGAGGTCAGCCGCACGCGCGCGGGGAGAAGAAGATGGTTGCGTTTATAGAGGGAAGGGTGGGGAAAGAAGAAGGAATAGAAGAAGAGGGACCGGTACCTAGAAACAGATAATTCGTATCAGGACAGTAACCCCCGATCCTGAAGATCTCAATCAGATCGAAAAACTGCCCGTGAATGTCCCCGACAACAGTAATCGGCGCAGCCACGTGCACAACGTTGCTCTCCCGCATCAGCAGCTCCTTCGTCTTGGCGCATATCGCTTCAATGACGGATTCAGCAAGGAGCTCCTTTTTGTATAGGCGTGCGATGCACTCGTCCAGGTCGACCGAAGCTGTCTCGTGTGCGCGCGCGTCAGCAGGTATCCCCCAAACACGCGCATCGTCATCACTATCCATCTATAGGCCCTTACACGGAAGACTGGGCATGATTGCTTGTGATCCTCGACCAGAGGAGAAGAGAAGGAAAGACAGCGAGGGGATAGTAAGAAAGAAAGAGGTAGCAGAGAAAAAGAAAAGTCAAAAGGCAAACAGAGCCGCAGAATTGCTACCTGCGTGCCAGACGAGACGACACTGTCATCAAGACCGGCCCGGAAGCTTCAGCAGTAATGTGGAATCGGTCATGCAGCAGCAGGTATCTGGCTGGGGTGGAGGCGACGGCGGCAAGCCACCAACATGATCGACCGGGAAGAATCCCCCCTCCCCGTATCTCGTTTATTCGTTTGCCGTGTCGAGGGGTTCGTCGTCGTCGTCGTCTTCTTCCTCACATGGGGTGCGCCTCTGGCGGGGGAGAAGCTTCTCCGTTGGGCGGGCACGTGTGGTGGATGGAGGGGCGGTTTGTTCGTGGTGCTTTGGCCGTTTCTGCTCCATGGTTAAGTGTGTGTGACGCTGTCCAAGGGTCTGTTTTTGGACGCCAGAAGCGCTAGCAGGTTCCAGCCCCCCCCCCCCCCAAAAAAAAAGAGCCCCAAGAGCAGGTACTAGGTTACCAAGTGTGATATATATCTTTGTCATCAGGTAGTTCAGGGGTATCATGATCGCACGTGATCTGTGGGGCCTCTTATACTCTCACATAGCCTTTCTTTTCCGTGCTTCGCCAAGGAGGAAAGGATCGAATGTAAGCGTCAATCTCTGTAGAGCGATCTGCTCTATCTGCCTGCAGGAGGTCTTGCAACCTGACGTTGGTGCTACAGATAGTTCCGCGTTCCCACGATACCAAGAAATTATGGTTGAACCGTGTGCTAACTGCCTGCCTACCTGTACCTGTATGTAGTATTGATAGACCACGCAGGCCTTGCTCGGGTATAGTCCGGTAACAATATTTTGTCGTTTGCTAGGCTGTGAGCTTCTTACTCGTACAGGTAGATGGTTTAGAATTGCCTAACGTGGTAGATCGAGGAGCTCTAGCCAATTCTCTGTCATCGTTCGTAAAACGTACTGTTATAATATAATATGATAATTCCAATCCCGATCTTCTACCTGCCTATAGCAACGCCGCGGCACATTGGATTACTATTCTACGGCGTCGAAGCCTCCACCGCCGCCGGTCTCTTCAGACAGTTTGTCTCTGAGACTCGCCATCCCACTCTCCAGCGACCTAACATCCGTGGTCACCATAGATTTCTCGAAATCGATCAGCACAGCGTTGCGGCTAGAGTCGATGATGAAATTGTGCCGATTAGGATCCCACACTTCTCCGACTGGCTGTCGCCTGCCAGAATGTCCGGCCCTGTTGCTGTACACTCCTGGGCCAGCAAAGTCAGCTGCCGAGTTCTCTCGAGGTCCAGAAAGCTGATCTTCTTCTGATGCCAAACCGTCTCCACGCCAGGGAGGTCTATCTTCTGTAGGGCTGCCTCAAGTTTGCCAGTCGCCGCATTGCGAGAGATGTATGCAGGATTCCAGTGGTTCTCGCCGTACGGCAGTGCGGGCAGGATATCCTGGAAGTTCAGCGGCATATCAATGAGTGAGTGGGCATCGAGGGCGCGGGCTTGAACGGTGACATATCTGACGCTGTGACCAGTCAAGATGCGGAAGTAGCAGTCATCTCTTCCTGCCGTAGAGAATTCCATGGAGATGATACGAGGAGCAGCCATGGCCATAATGAGGCTTTAGTAGAGAAAATGTCTTTCATTCGGGAATGCAGAGAGTTTTGAAGGCAGAGGCTGCAAGCTCAAAAGAAAAACTCCTCTCGCTAGGCCACGTCGCAAGCTGATGCGCTCGAGTTCTCTTGGGAGGCTGGACGTTTTCTTCTGCCGTACCTGCGATACTACTCCGCTATAACACTCCGTATTACTCCGTGTTACTCCGTATTACCGTACTCATGCCACGTCACTTTATCTAATGCGGCCGATCTGGACGATGCTGATGGCTGGAAGCTTGGGCTGCAGCCGAGCGTAAGCACGCGTGAAGCCATCCTTGTCAGGCGTGTGATCGAACTGGATCCACAGGTACAACCCGGCGATGGCACAAGAAGGCCTCATGGCTCCCTGTGAAATTTCTATAAAGAAAGAGACCTCCAGATCGCAAACGCTGACTCGGCAACCGTTTCATTGCCCTCTTCTACCTTATTCCCTTTTCACGGAACAGAGCTACGGCGACCTCCAGCCTATATCGACGAAACGACGCCGAACGATGTATTAGGCCGGCTACCTCCCAGCATCGGGGCGCCTGAGCACAGCTGGTTGCAAGACATCATTGACTAGTATCACAGTTACTGGTTTGTTGAGGGTTGTACTACCTACCAGGGTGTTGCCGTTGAATGCATCTTTGCACTAACTCTGTAACTGAAGGACTTCGAGCCACCATGTGTACCTGGCTTACGATTAAGTACACATGTGAATATGCGAAGCAGTTGGAGTTTGTGCAATGCCAGACTGCTATTACTTCGGGCCTTAATATTAAGTGCAGGCCTATCAAGAAAGAGTTGTCCAAGTTGTCCACCAATCATTATCCTGGCCATCTAGTCTACCCAACCGCTGAGAAGAAATACTTTTCGGATCCCGAGACGGTTCCTTGAGACGGTTCCCGAGCCGGTTCCCGAGCCGGAATAACTTATTCGAATATGCCTCTTCTGCTCCGTTCAGGACATGATGCTTATACAATCAGAAATGACGATGGCTATGAATGACTGGTTTTATACATTATCCATATACGGACCTTGATCAGAATACAGTCTTGATTATACATCGCTACATACACTAACGCAGTCATGTTGTGGGATCATCTCGGTAGCCCATCACCATCTAGTGAACTGATATAACCACGGCGGCGAGTTGCACACGCCTCGTTCCGCCTTCGCTTTGGTCCCGTAGATTCTGCGCTTCCGCACAGGAGGAAGAATGGGACAGGTAACCAGATCTTGAAAACACGCAATACAGCCTCCTATCTTCCTGCCGAAGAGTCCATGTTGAGACTAGTGACCATGCAGTGCCTCAAGTCGTGCCGTCCCCGAGCCGAGATTTCTCAGAAACGCCATGCTTGATGATTGTCAGCGTCGGTCAATGGTGTTGGTGGTCGAAGGAACGCTGAAGGAAGAATTGAGGGAAAGGGTCTAGCTCTCCTCACGCTCGCACCTGCCTCATAGTCACCTTCCAGAACCTTCTGACGGGAGATATACTACATAATGTGGTGCCTAAGGCTCACTTTCTCATCACCGAACTTCATCAGAACCTCGGGTCCCGGCTCATGCATGCCCATGGCACCGGCGACAGGGTATGCATTATTCCCCACCCCGGGCGTCACATCGGGACGGGCTTCGTCGCCCATCTCTGTCGACTTGCGATTGCAATACTGCCCATCCTTTCCGAACGTGAAGTATTGGGATGTATTTGAGCAGTAGGTCATTTCTGCGGCGTTACGTTCACCATCCGATCTCCTTCATCGGCATTCGATGCCAGGTCCAGGAGAGGTACGAGGAATTTCTTTAGGATTGCGAATTCTGCTCGACGAACTCGCCCCACTACTGACCTCTGTGCTACCATGGCATCCAGTTTTGACTCTGCCGTCTCGCCTCATGTGTCGTCCACGATGAGTTCAGGCAGTAATACTGCCTAAACGATGCAGAGCAAGATAGCAGCCGAGAAGGCGCACTCGAGATCGGCTAGTACAAATGATTCTGGTCGATGTATTGGCCGCGAATTGCGAGTACAGCAAGGGACCAATGCAGAGGAATGGGAGGAGAAGCCTCTCGTCCAGGCAAGGGCGTGATAGTCTCCATCGGGTCCTCATTCCATCAGAACGGCGACGGGGATCACGAAGATATGGGACCAGCGTTCACTATATACCGAACAGGGGTACGGAGGTGATGTCAAAAGGTCTTAGTTCCCTTCTATCTCCTGCGCTGGTATGCGCGCAGGTGAGTGTATATATACTCCTTCTTCACTTCTTTCCATAGCTCCTTCCTTCCGCAACAATAACCACGCCAACATGGATATATATACGAGCACAACCCCAATCTAGGTTTGTCATCTCATCCTACAGATGGTTGTCCAGAAAATGGGTTGAACTCGGGCAACTACACCGCCCCAGGAATGTTGGCCGCCAATCGCTGCGGGAACTGGCCATGATTAACAACATCTCTCCCGCACGTCCCCCGCACGTTCATGAATCCCGGATTACCGGATATGATTCCTAGATGGGAACGGAGGGAGGGGTGAGATTACCAGCCGCGTGTATGTAAGATAACATGGCTTATCCCCCTGAGTCGTAGTAGCACTGTATGATTCAGGTTTAGGGTCTGGGTTTAGGGTACCGCGATGGCCACCACGGCAAATACGCTGCGTCAAGCCAAGGATGGATGATTGGGAAGTAAAGAACAAGAACCGTCGAAATGGACGTCATGTGACAGATTATCGAATACCCCTACTGCATTCGTTGATACGGTACAGGCCATGGGAATGGAAATCATATGATGGTAGTAATGCTGGCATCCGATGAGGCGAGGAGATGATACCAATAGAGGCAAGCTATTAGGCGAAGAAGAGCAAGGCTGGAAGAGAGCAGCGGCAATAGAGACGGGAACCAGCTGGGGAACCAACTAGACAAACTCCACTCATGGGGGGGCACCAGCCACTCAGAATGCGTCGCTGTTAAGAATATCTGGTCCGTGCACGATCTCATCACGTGAACGCTCAGGCTACGAGTGACACTGCCATCTCCTTCCAACAAGCAACGACAAGCTGAGGCGTGAAGCTGCCAAGCATCTTCTCTCGTTCGAAACTCATTACCATCTGGTCATGTATGGACTTGGGATCTGAAACCTTATACCGACAACTTCCATCCATGTGTTCATGAGGTTTCCACCACGTGCCCACTGGAGGATCGGCGCAGGGGCAGCTGCTGCCAGGGCTGTTACGCGGGAAGGCTGCCATTTGAGCCCAGAGTGAGCGATACTCTCTCCTCACCTCAGTCTCAACGTGGCGGCCGCGTCAGGAACGCTTTTGTGACAGTCACTGAATCTAACCAGGTTGCAGAGTTTTGTGCTGTACCTGAGTACTAGTAGTACTTTTGAGCAGATCACCTTTGAGAACTTCCTCCCCGACCCCTCGCGTAAGTGAGGCTGACCGGAGACTACAAGGCTGCAGCTTTCACACCCAGATTTAATTAAATACGCATCTCAGCCCCTTTTTGCACACAGCATTCTTCCATTAATACATTTCAGACAAGGAATAATCCCCCGGAAAAAAAAAAATCAATCGCCAACTTCGTGATTGTCCACCCAAACACACTCGGCCGGGTCTCCAGATGGCAGGCTCCGCTGCTGGTCAGCCAAATCGGCCTGACGAGCCTCAGTGCTACAACTGCGGCGCCTTGGGGCACTGGGCTATCGCCTGCCCTGAGCCAACGAGGGCCACACCAGCGTAAGTTGGCAGCAAGAAACGGCCGCAACGTCTTTCTTTCCCATAACCAACACGCTGCTGACTGACATCCGTGTGAACAGCGGCTTTGAGACGTGGAGAAATACGTCATCTCACGCTGGTCATCAAGGCCACCATGCCAAGGATCATCGAGGTCATAAGAAGTCCAAGGGTCCCGTCATTACCAGATATGCCCCTCCGGCCCCGGAGTCGGCATACTCACCGCAGCCTGCTTACTATCACGGCCCAAGTCCTTACCCACCGCCACCGCCTGTGCCTTCACGTCAACCGCCTGGCATACATCATTCGCCTCCCGCTCACTACCCTCCGCCTCCTGCCTCGGCTCCACCGTATTCGCCGCAGTTTGCTCACCCGACGCCCATCCATTCTCCTCACGACCCTTTAGCAGCAGGATATGCACCCCCGTCGTACGCACCAACTCCGCCCTCTGGTCTTCCGTCTAGGCCAGAATACGGGCCACTGCCACCGCCGCCGCCAGGCACAGGATACCCGTACCAGCCTGCCTATACTCCGTACGGCCACCCCCCGACGCAGGCGCCGTTTCGAGGACTTCCCCCGGGTCCACCAGTCTTCTCTTCGATGGCAAATGGTCCGCCTCCGAGACCTCCGTCCGGATCTCCACCGCATCCCAAAATGCCCGGGAATCATCCCCCCCCTCATGCCCAGCCACAGAAGAACAAGCAGTCACCGGGTCAGAACCATAAGAAGTCCCGCCGCCCAGACGCTTCATCGCCGAAACGGCCTGCCCCTAGTCTGGGGCCTGGGCCTACTGATAGAATTGCTCATGGCCTCCCTCCAAAACCACCGCCACCGAATCGAGACGTGCAGCATGGCTATCATAATTCGCAGCACGATCATTGGAACAAGAGGAAGCAGGAAGACCAAAAGGAAAACAGAGATCATGGGCACAGAGAACGGCTGGGTAAGAGGCGATTGTCGAACCAGAATAGCCAACAGCAGCAGCGGCAGCAGCAGCATGGCCGTCGGCCAAGCCAGCATGTCAGCCGCGAGGCGTCGCATAACTCGTCACCCCGACAGGGTGTTCAGAAGGACGCGAAAAGACCGGAGTCAAGGGCAGCTAGCGAGATTGGAGGTGCAGTCTCAGCAGCTTCCCCAGACCGACGATCGCAGCTGGGGGCTGCGGGGATTGAACCGGTGCCAACCCGCGTCCTGGGGAAGACAAATCAGGAATATGGCCAGAAACTGGTCGGGAACCCCGGCCCGAGGCCCCAAAAAAGTGACCTATCGCTTCCGGAAAAGCCGGGCATCAAGCCCACCAAGCACGGCTCTATAGAATCCATACCCAAGGGTACCGCGAAGCCGGATCACAAACGGAATAGCGTCGACCGAGACGGAGCATTCCCCACAGTCCCCCAATCTCCCTCGGCACATCAACGCCGCGACGGTGCAGTCCAACAGCGATCAAACTCGTATTCTGTGGAAGAACGTACGCCGCATCAATCAGACCATCGTGGACATCCAAAACGAAAATGGACAGTGTCACCACCGACGTCTCTCCCACCTCAGCACGAGAAGCACGAGAAGCCGCCGCCGCCGCAGCAGCAGCAGAAAGATGACCAAGAACGTAACCAAGAATCGACTGCCGCACGCGGCAGAGAGACGGCCCGACCCACGACGACGATTCAAGAAACGCCGAGGTCTAGGCACCCGTCAGTGTCGTCCAGCTCATCACGCTCGTCAGGCCTAGATTCGTTGGATAGAGAACTCCTTGGACTTGAGTCCAAGGAGAGTCAGCAAGACGGTGACGACGCCGAGACGTCTGGTGGTACTAAACCAAAGAGGCGGAGAGTCCAAGTTGACTCTGCATATAGGTACCTCCTTCTTTCTCCCTCTCTTCCACTTCCTTTCCCTAGCCTCTTCCCCTTCAACCTCCCTTTTCATCTCCTTTCATCTCTGCTGTTCATAACTGACGTTTTCCTAGTCGACGATGGTGAAACCTTTTTATTCATGCCAAACCGAATTCCTAGACAAAACCCCCGATGATTGGATGCTTTTAAACATTTCCCTCCCTTTCACGTTCTTTTCCTCATTCTCCCTTCTCGCTTCCTTCCTGCATGTCTTCTCTCATATGTTGTTACTAATAGGCATATAAAAAGGAGAGACACACCCCATGTTTACTAGTGCCCGAACCTCATTTTACTATTGATAATCCTTTCTATATTCCCACCATTATTGTTTCTCTTCATCCATCTTTATATGTACATATACCATATATATTCCCCTCCGTCCCTGCCATTTCGATAAACCATCTCTAGGATATAAAAAAACACTTGACGATGCTACGATGGCCATGTTTCTTCATTCCCTTCTTTTTCTTTCTATCGAGTAGCAGCAATCTCGCATTTCATATCTGAGATAGAAAAGGGCATATTTTCTCTTGTTTCTAGCGAGGAATGTCTTGTAGTACTTATTAGTTTTATGCTATCTGTCTACATGAGCCATGCTTGACTCTTACGTTAGCTCGGTATTGATTATAGACCCTTATTTCTAGGCTATATTACAAAGCAACCGGTGCAACACTCCTACTCTCCATATTTGCCATGTTTCGTCAAAGCTACATCTTTGATCCTATCACTCACATAGATTGAGCTTGCACTGTCCACTGTAGCCTCGCCAATCTGGTTCTCTATGGCTAAGGAGGGGAGATGTAACGATATCCAGCCAATTTCCCGACAGGCTTTCTAAAAAAAAATGCTTTTTTAAACCACCCGATTATTCACCAAAAGCAAAACAAAAAGCTAAGCAGAAGCTCTCTTACGGCCCAATTCTCGAGGCCTGTGACGAAACACAGTCTTGGATACCACTGGATGAAAGCACACAAACCAAAAAAGGGAAACGTTGACAGAAGGATACACCTCATACAATCAAATGATCGAACCCCAGCCCTCTTAGATCTCGTAGCCAATTAACCCCATTGTCTCCCCGGCCGCGTGCAGAGTCCTGCATCTGCCACGTGGCTTTGAGCATCTCGATGGCCGTGAAGATGTATCCCCACCGATGGGTCGACCAGATGGACACTAGTTGCTTGAGGGTCCAGGTGCGCTTCTCGACGTCACGACACTCCGCACCGGCGATAAAGGTGGGCCAGGAGGTGGCCTTGAAGTAAGGGTCTGACTCCGAGATCGAGCCCACGTGGGCCAGGATGTCGTCGACCAGGAACTCGACGTCGACAGGGTGCACGGAGCGTACTGTTGGGAGGGCTTGCAAGATGTACAGACAGGCGGCCGAGCGGTGGGCCGAGGCGACGTGCATGCGGCTCTCGATGTCGGCCACGTTTGGCACGGAGTTTTGCAGGTTGGACGCCCAGGCGTTGATGTCAAACTCTAGGGCCTGGTCGATCAGGCTGAGGGCCTCCTCGACGGTGGGTAAAGACCAGTCCGTGTGGCTCGATGTCTCCTGGGAGAGCTGCGAGGCCAGCAGGATAATTTGCAGTATCTCGGGTGGGCACGATAGATAACTGTTGACCTCGACACGTTTCAGGACGGGGAGAAGCTCAAAGGCGTAACGGGCCATGCGGGAAGCCAGCCCGTCCGATGACAAGATCGAGCCAAGAATGTGATATCTGAGAAATCTTGTCAGTCAACATGGTCTTAGGACAAAGATAAAGGGAGGCTAATGAGGAAGGGAGGGGGGAGGGTTAATAACATGAAACAGTCGGCTATGACCATGTCGCGGAGCATCCTGCTCGACGCTGGTGTTGTGGTATCTGAAGTAAGAAGAGCCAAGAGGCTCGCTGCCCCCTTGAGATGTGCTTTCCATCCACTTGTCTGGTGCTGCTCAGTGTCGAGAAGGTCAAACTTGATAAAGAAGTGCATCGCTGCCAAGGCCACCTCACTGCCTGCAGGGTCTAGGGTGTCGAGGACCTCGTTGAGGTGGCCCATGGCTTTCTGCTTAGCTGTGAGGGCATCTATGAGAGCCTGGCGTGAGACGAGGTCATTGGAGCGGAGCTGGAAGAGGAAGCCACCCGGGTCTGTTAGCCCTGAAGGTATGTCGGTGATGGGGCGAAATATGTTGCACCAGTGGAGAGCCGATGTCGCAACAAGGATCTGCAGTAGTAGCGGGTGCTTTTTGGTTAGAGGGAGGAGCTCTCGAAAGGGGTTGCTTCCGGGTTCGTCACGGGCGACAAGATCCTGGCAAACACGATCCGCAACTATGATAGTTGACGCGAGGTCGTATTAGCAATTTGGTCAGAGAAAGGGGGGCCGTTTCTGTAGTCCCTAGGCATGAGATATGAAGAGGGGATCTAGATCCATGCTCGGTGCATATGGCACGAGCAAATGGCATGATGGCATGATGGCATGGTCGTGGTTGTATACTAGAGGACTAAGAGAAACCACGGTTGCGGGGAGATAAGGAAATACAAAGAAGAGGGACACCAGAACAGGCGCTTCCGGCACACACACACACACACACAAAAAAAAAAAAAAGGACTAGCGATAAGAGGGACAAGGGTTTCCAAACTTACAGTATGAGAGATAGTAGCGCGACTTGCGATCCAAGTCTTGAAACAGGGGATCAGTGAGAGCACCAACAGAGGTCGGCTTGTTGATAGGGAGCTTCAAAGACGATGTTTCCTGTCCCGAGTTGGAGGGTCGAAATGCCAGCGTCTTTGCCGTCTGGCCACGCTTCGACACATGGCTGTGTTGATGGCGCTGGGAGGAGTGGCCGGCGACGGAGGGGACCGAAGCCGTCCCCGCGCCCGGTTGCTGATAAGCACCCGGCTTGGCCGGATTGGGCGTCGAAGGAGTGGAAGATGAATTAGAGGGGCTATTGGATGTGCTGGCTGATGTGTTGGCAGTGGAGGCGGTGAGTCTCCTGCCGGATGACGAGGGCTTCAGGTTCCCGTTCTCGTCAATCGCTTGGGTAAAGACAAAGACCTTGCCGTAGCCCAGACACTCCTGACCCGAGACCGCGCATTTGTGGCAGGTTGGCCATGAGCGGTCGCAGCGAAGACGTCGGCGACGGCAGTTGTGGCACGGCTTGCCTCCTGAGGTTTGCATGCGCGCGCGCCCTGCTCTCGGTTGACGGTTTTGCTGCCGTTGAAAGCGGCAGCGGAGACAGCTATTCGTCTGTGATGATGCGGGGGGTGAGCGATTGGTCGTTGGAGCGGCAACGTCGGCGGTTGTTGTTGTTGTGGTGGTGGTGGTGGTGGTGGTAGTAGTAGTGGTGATGAGGGAAGTCTTATAGATGTTAGTCGGCAATGTCTTGGACATCAAGCCCAAACCTAATAACCGTTACATGTAATACCTGTGAGTTTAAGAGGAAGGAGTCGGGGAAGCAGAGATGTAATGTATGCTTAACCTCTTCTCCGGGTGGTTGGTTACGTGTGTTGGCAACAGTGGCGACAGGAACTGGTTATCACCAAGATGGCAGGATGGCCGAGGGCGTCATGATTTTGTGCTACTAGGTCTTCGATAAGCATGAGCTGGGATGGATGGATAGATGGATGGATAGATGGATGGATGGATGGATGGATGGATGGATAGAAGGTAATGTCAGTGAGGTTGAGGAGAAGGATAGGCTACGTTGGTGGGTGCCGCAGTAGTGCTAAGAAGGAGTAATATATTAATAATTGGTGATGTTGGATATAGAGGAGGTAGCAGCTGGTAGTTTGTGGAGACGGGGGATGCAAGGGCCAAGCCAGGCATATATCGGGAAAATAGATAAGCCAGATAGAAGATGCAAGAGAGAGAAACTGGGGTCAATATAAGACGAGGAAAAAGATGATGTTTTTTAGGAAAGTTGGTGATGGCGTTAATGGTGTTATACGCGTGGTGATGAGCACATTCAAAGCAGGTGAGATGATGTCCGGGGAGGGGTTCCATGAGGGGCTGAGGGGTCCGCTCTCAGTGGCACTCAGTTAAGGAAGAAAGAAAAAAAAGTGTAATATGGAGTAATATTACTTACTACATGCAGTATTAGGCGTTACGGAGTAGCCCCAAGGAGCTCCTGCCCATTTTTGGCAGTCTTTACTATTTAGTGTGGTTCTTGGTTACTCCTTCCCTGTGTTTCCCTGGCCTCTGTGGCTCCTGCCTAGACTTTTAGGAAAGTAGGTAGGCAGGCAGGAGGTATTCGTATAGGTAGGGTCCTTCCTGCCCCCCTGACCTGTGAGCTCGTGATTCTAGCTCATTCGGCCTCTATTTCCCAAGGAAGACCACAGGGAGCCTGAGGAAGGCTCCAGGGAGGCTCCAGAACCGGGCCCAGAACTTGGACCCCTCCTCATTCATCTGCTTTATTCTGCATCTTCATCTCTCCTCTCTCCTCCGCCCTGTCCGTTCCCCGTATTCGGAGAATCCAATGGACCAAATGGTCCCAGCGCCCCATACTTGGCCACACATCATTACAACCTACAACGTCACATGGTTGCGTTGTCGTCGTCATATTTTTTTTTCTTTTTTTTTCTTCCAAATTCTCCACCTGTTAAACCTCGTCATCATTTGTTTCTTTTCCCATCTTCTCCGCCAACGGATCCCCCCCTCCTTCCGAGCCGTTCTAGGCACCATCACCGCGCACGACAACCAGGCTGTTCATCATTGTTCATCATATGCACGTGCGCGGGTCGAAAAGAGAAAAGAAGAAGAAAGAGAGAGAGAGAGAGAGAGAGGATACTATCACTAACAAGGGAGAGACGGGTTCGTGGTCCCTCTGTTTTTGCATGAACGAGAAATCTCCTTCATGGGATCGTCCCCAGCACTTCCTCTCGCCCATGCGCCATGCTGCCCAAAGCGGAAACCATGCAACATGCCTTGCAGCCACCAGAGTTACGGGACCTGCAGGGCCGAGTCTCCTGTCCAGACCGGCCACGACCCAAAAGCCTGTCGCTGGCCATGTCACACATCATTTTTCCCAGTAGTGACCTAGTAGTATCGTGTCTGCTGCTGACTTTACCATGATGTCCGCTAAGTGAATCTTGTCGTTTCTGTGCATGAGCTGCTGCTGCTAGCTGCTGCTAGCTGGACGGTTACTCCCTTCCATCCCCTGTCCCGCAGTTTTCGTCAAGCGTTCCTCCGCCTCGTGCTTTCAGAGTCCGCCCTTGGTCCAGCCAAGGCAGTCCTCGTCGCCCAAACGGGTAAACCAGCGGGATCTGTCGCTCTCTACCGACATGGTTATCTCGGCAAGATTTCCGGAAAGATGCCGATCAAAAGTTGTCTCTCCTTGTTATACATACAGGTTATATTACCTGCTTCGAGTTGGTGAAGAGGAAAATGGACCAAAAGAATGATCTGCAGAAGAACCCCTTCTTTTCACTTATAAAAGAAGAAAGCAAGGCAAGGCAAAAAAAAAAAACAAAGAATAGTCCTGAAACGGGCCGGATACTCACCGATTCTCACAGGCCGCCTGGTCCTGCCTTTCTCCCCACTTAATTCCTTGACACCTCGACCTCCTTGTTGTCATTGACTTGCTTGAGAAACCACGCCACAGAACAGCTGTCAGTGTGAAGGCCCAATAATCAAGGATTCCCTCTGGTATCCCCGCCGCCTCGTTCAATCTACCGATTAATTGTTATGACATTACACGTATACTATCCGGGTACGGCTTCAGCTGCAATGCGGTAACGGGCTGTCGTAATAATGTAACGTACGTAGCCGTCCTCCACACCGGCCTACTCGGAGTGTGAATGCAGTGATACATGTGCGAATATATGCTTGGAAAGATGCTATAGAGCTTATGCGTAGTATCGTGAGCGGTAATATCCGGCGCGTAGGGAACGGGATTGAGGGTACATATACAGCAATTACTGGCTGGATTTCCAACAATCAGGATTCGCCGCTATAGCACAGTGGTAGTGCGCATCACTAGTAATGATGAGGTCCCAGGTTCGAGTCCTGGTGGTGGCATCTTATTAAAGCAACGTTGGTGTTTTTATTTTTTTTGCAACCCACCCTTTTTCTTTCATTATATATTTTCGGTTTCACACATATCTAGGTTTCTTCGCTATATTATTCTTCTGATAGGTTTTTTCAAGATCAAATGTATGGACTGAGCTTGACTTGTTAGCCCAGTTCACTCTAATTCAAGGAAAATATATAACTCCTGGGCAAAAGTGCTGTTGTGGTTGTTGCTAGAAGAAAATCATGTACAACGGTTCAATCATACGTTGAGGGGAATGATGTCATTCTCATAAAGGGTAAATATTCGCTATCGAAAGGAAAGAAGATAAAACAGGAAACTCCATTGCACAATGCAAACTCAATGCTGCATCCTAAAAGTGTTTGGCATCATCGGCAGCCTTGTTGCGGAGCATTCCCGTCTCCCTCTCCTCGTCAAAGTCATTGCTGCTACTGCATCCGGCCTCGATGGGGGCAGAGTCGTAAGCAACAGGCACGTCGTCGATCTCGTCGCCGACCTCCATCCAGTGGGGGCTGACGGCGGGCACGGGGAACAGCCTGGAGAGGCCCCAGTACATGCCGCTGGAGACGATGAAGCCGGCGAAGAAGTTGACGTTGTAGATGTAGGTGGCACCGATGGGGACTTTGGTGCCGACGGCGCCGGCGAAGCCGACGACGTTGATGAGGATGCCGGAGATGTAGGCGGCGTAGGCGCGCCAGTTGATGCCCCAGGTGTAGAAGTAGGGGCCGGAGGCGCGGGCGTCGTAGAGCTCCTTGATGTCGAGGTAGCCCCTGCGGACGAAGTAGTAGTCCGAGATCATGACGCCGGCGATGGAGCTGAGGAAGACGCTGTAGGCGGAGAGGTAGGTGGTGAACTTGTTGCTGTCGCTGAGCAGGTTGTAGGGGCACATGGCGAGGCCGACGGCGGCGCAGATGTAGCCGCCGCGGCGGATGTTGATCCATCGGGGCAGCAGGGCGGTCAGGTCGGTGCCGGCGGAGATGGAGTTGGCGGCGATGTTGGTGCCTAGCTGGGCGAGGCAGAAGGCCGAGGCGATGACGAAGACGCCGAAGCGCTGCCCGGAGCCGCCGTCGTCGATGAAGCGCTCGAGCAGGACGAGGGGGTCCCAGACGGCCTCTCCGTAGATGACCTGCGACGACGAGGAGACGATGATGCCGATGAAGGAGGTGACGCCGAAGCCGGCGGGGATGGTGATGAGCTGAGACCACATGGCGTCGCTGGGCTTGCCGGCGAAGCGCGAGAAGTCCGGGTCGTTGACGATGAGGGTGGCGAAGTTGGCGATGGACGACATGATGCCGTTGACCATGGCCCAGCCCAGGGCGCCGCCCGACTTGGTGCTGGGCTGGTGGATGATGGGGCCGATGCCGCCGGCCCGGACCACGGCCCAGATCAGGTACGCCAGGGCGGCCAGGGGCACGAAGAAGGCCTTGACGGTGAACAGATGCCGGATCTTGTGCACGGGGAACCAGATGGCCGGCAGCGAGCACAGCCAGAACAGGAAGAAGGACACGTACTCGGCCGTCGTCGTCGGCTGGCCCTGGAAGCCGCCCGGGTCGATGGTGTCGCGGTCCCAGGCCTTCCAGACGGACCGGATCATCAGGTACACGCACTTGCCGCCGATGTACGACTGCACCCCGTACCAGATGCAGGCCATGGCGGCCCGGTTGAAGACGGGCCAGAGGCTCCCCCAGATGCCGAACGACGCCCGGTTCACGACCGGGAAGCCGATGTGGTACACCGCGCCTATCCTCCCCGTCGAGCAGATGAAGCATCCGGCTATGGCGTACCCCACCCACACGCAGAGCCACGACTGCCACCACGACAACCCGTTGACGATCATGGACGACGATATCATCCACGTATTGATGTTGAACGAGTCGGCGATCCAGAAGCCTACAAAGTTCCACGGCCCCCACTGTCGACGTTCCTTCTCTACCGGTTTCAGATCATGGTTGGTCAGCTGTGTGGTGGGTTAGCTTTCAATGCCTCGATTCAACCTTGTGGTGGTCATGGGGTTTTCCGAGAGAGGGAAAGAGAGAGAGAGAGAGAGAACATACCATGAGCTGCGTACTCGTCAGACCGGGTTCTGCTTCGACAGCGAGCTTGTCAGCCCAGTAGGCCGACCTGGAGGCGAAGCCTGCCATGGCGATTATATGCGCTCGTAGGCGGTGGTGGCGGTGGCGGTATCAGTGGTTGTCGCGCGCAGACAAGTGAAGACGAGTAGTATTACTATTAGCATATATATATATATAGTATATATATATGTTTGTGTGTGTGTGTGTGTATTTGTACGAGGCAGCACCACCTAAACCCGCACGACACAAGGAGAAAAAGGCGGAGAAGGAATGAAGAGGAGAGATGGAGGGTGGGAAGGCTGGTTAAATTATATCGATCTACCTGGTACTACTAGATAGTAGTAGTAGTAGTAGTAATAGGAGGAGGAGGAGTAGTAGTAGGAGTAGTGTAGTAGGTCAACCCTACGGGCCATAATTTCGGGGGGGGGGGGGGGGGGGGTTCAAGAGGTATGTATTATCATTACATGTAACTCTGAGTGAATTACGGGAGGCTGTTTCCCGGTATAGATAGTGGCACCCATGCGGTTATCTCTGATAACCTGTTGCGAGTATGATACTATTATACAGAGCAGATGAGACAAGACTCAAAAGAGGTAGAGCAGAATAGTCGTAGTACGATGACTGTACCTACATGGTTGCCCCCACCTTGGGGAGATACCAAATGAGCATGTCGTATGATATCATGACATTGGACGTCTCTAGCACACACACACAAACACACCGGTCTCTGAACGTTTCCGATATTCTTTTTTTTTTTTTGACTTCTCCTTCCTTCGTCTTCCAAACTCAACCCAAACCCCCCCCCCCCCCCCCCCGCCTCTCCTCTCTCTCTGACTCTGAAGAAAACAATCCGTACTGTTCAATTCCGCGGGGGATACAAAAAAAAAGAAATAAAAAGAAGAAGAAATAAAAAAGAGGGAAGAAGATTCTTGTAGAGTACATACTCGTATGTCAGTCTGATAAGGACCAATCTACAATCAGCCAATGACAAATCTCCATGTCCGGCTCCGTTATCAAGAGAGTGAGACGCTTGAACCTTTTATGGACCCGCCAGAGGGTCGAGGCCCCACACAAATGACCCGTTCTTGCCTCGTCTTTAAAGGTCAAGTCCCGTCCGTCCCCTCTTCACCCCCGCGTTTCTTGGGCGTAGGATAAAGATCAAATGGTAATTCCTTCTAGTCTATTACTCGATCTCATCGAGTCACAACACAATCAGATTCCTGGTGGGGCTCCCTCTCTCTATCTTCCCTCTCTCTTCTAAAGAGTGGATTCACAGTCTTACCCCCCCCCCCCTTTCATAGAAACAGCACGCAAACGGCATATGCAAGATATTACATAGCAGAGTGAGTATTCATCCTCTCGTACGAGTCATGATGACGACAACCGCTGTTGCTCCCCCCTTTTTCTTCTTACTGGCTCTTTATCTGTCTCTCTTCCGATCCATCTTCTCTGAATAACAGCAAAAGCTTTCTTTCCCTTATTCTCTTCTAATGATGCCCCTTCACCACGGCCACAGTGGCCACAGACCGACCAGTGACCACCACTCGATGCTTGGCCGCTGATTACGCCAATCCCCCCTCTTCAAGCATCTTTATCCCTTCGCCGCCGGCCAAACCCCCCTTCTCTCGATCTCACGTCTTCTTCTTTTCCTTGTTTATCCTTATCCTGCTCCCTGTCAAAACCCCCCGGTACGCCACCAGGTCCCGGCCCAACTTGGTCCATCCATATGACCCACTCAGCTGATAGGCGATTCGTTACTAATGCCGAAACGACCTGACGATAATTCATACTCGTACAGATTAACCTGTACTGCCCACATGATAATGATGATATTACTCGTACAACAATCCAAATCACAACCCCCTTCCTTCCCCCTTCTCCTTGATGCCACCACCATTCTGTCCCAGTCTCCACGTGATATCCCGAGATCGGAATATCCCCACCACTCGCCCTGTGCCGTGCTACCCACCCACCTTTGCCGTCCCCCGCGCATCTTCAAAACTCGACCAGCCACAGGGACACAGCTGCCAGAATCACCGGAACCACGCTCACCAACTCCCCCAGGCCCGCGTACGCTGGCGCTATGCGAAATCTCACCCATACCCCGCTGGCCATGCTGACGGCCAGCACGTTGTACACGCCTGACCAGACAAAGTTGAAGAGCATCCGGTGAGAGGCCGCCCTGCTGAGGTCCAGCAGCCGGGGGATTCCCTCCAGGCCGTTGAGGAGCACCACGTCGGCCGCGCTCTGCGTCATGTTGCGATCCTGGAGCTCCGCGACCACTCGTGCCGCCTCTGGTCGTAGCTCCGTACGCAGGCCAAAGACGATGAGTGGCCTTGATCCCAGCACGACGACCAGTTCCGTCAACCCGGCCTCCCGGAGACGCACCACCTCGCCCACGTGCCTGGTCTGCGTCCAACGGGCGTTTCCGGCCCGGACCCTGAGCCCTCTGTAACTGGCCTCGACGCCGGCCCCTGCAATCCCCCGCACGTCCGACACGTCCGCCGCGGGCCCGACCATGAGACTCGTCAGATACTTTTCCACCGCCGCTGAGACCGGATGCTTCCCTCCGGCCATCAAGGCCATGGCCAGGGCGGCAGCTTCGTCGCCATCCGCCTGGAGTCTCGACTGCTCCACCACTCTCAATCCTCCTTCGGTGATGGTGCCCGTCTTGTCCAGTACGACATCCGTTATCTTGCGGGCTCGCTCCGTCGTGCCTCCCGACTTGATGATGATTCCGCCTTTGGCTGCCATACCGCCCACCATCACGAGAACCATCGGAACCGCGAGGCCGACTGCGCAGGGACAGGCCACGGCTAGAGTGGCCACGGCGTAGGTGACGGCGTTGCCGACGCTTTCCCCAGCCCCATCGTGACGCACGGCGAGCCCGATGACGGTCCAGACGACGAAGACAATGACCGCCGAGCTGCCGATGACCGGAACGAACCACGATGCCAGCTTGTTGGCCAGATCCTGCAGCTTGAGCTCAGAGTTGGCCGCGTCCTCCACCAGCTGCGCAATATCAGTGACCGTGTTCTTTCCGGGGAGACGCATCAGCGACGCGATGACTGAACCGTCACCATTCAAGGTACCGGCAATCAACATGTCGCCGGCATGCTTCGTCACCGGCATGCCTTCTCCAGTGATCATGGACTCGTCCACGTCGGTTCTTCCGGCGACCACTGTGCCGTCTGTTGGGATGCGCGAATGCGGAAGCACCCTGAATTCGTCCCCGTACTGGAGGAGGCGGGCATCGATCTCGCGCTCGCCGGTCTCCGTCACCAGGATGGCCTGCGTGCTCTGTTGCGACCTCAGCGACACCGACTTGATGGCCTGGACACGGGCAAACGCGGCAAGGAGACGCCCGCCCAGGATCAGGGTGATCAGGAGCGTGCTTGTTTCGAAGAACTGTCCCTGATCAAGTGGCCTGTTGACCATGGTGAATCCGAAAGCCACGGCCGAGTAGACGTATGCGGCGGTGATGCTCATAACAACCAGCATATCCATCTCCACAATCCGGCTGTACCGGAGTGTGAGGAGGGCCGGGCGGTAGAACTCAACAACGGCAATCCCCTGTACTGCTGTGGCAAGAACCAGGGACACCACCGCCCCCGACTTTTCACTAGCGAGATCCTCGTGGAAGGCGATGATGCAGACCGGTATAGTGAAGATACCGGCCAGGAGCGTGTTGAAGCCCTGCCTCCACATTCGGCGCCGACTATCCTCGAGCTGCGGATCAGCAAGTGGAGGGGCCAAGCCGCGGCTTCTGTCCCTGATACTGTCGTAGAGTGTGCGGGCCCCGACCAGAGTCGGGTCATAGGTGATGCGGGCCATGTCATTTCCCAGGGCCTGAACATCCGTCACTCCATGCGGCGGATGGTTGATAAACGTCGCCGTCCCGGGTAGTGACGTGATGACGTCGAGGAAGTAATCACCCCCTACGACCTTGGCCAGGCTGAAACCGCTGGCCATTGTGGCGAAGGAAAGCACCTCGTCGGCATTGGTGGTGGCGGGGTCCAGGCTCAGCTTCCCGTTACCCCGGACGAAATTGACCTGAGCCTGCGAGACGCCCGTCATGGTGCCGAGGATACACATCAACTTATCAGCGCAGCTAGTACAGTCCATACCGCTGACGACAAAACCGACTGCCTCGCCGTTCCCACCTTCAATATCCCTGACCTCTGCGACGCCATTCTTGGCCATCCCTCCCGACGGGTTGAACAAGGGCATGTCACGGTAAAATTCGGCATCGTGATGACACTCTGCACCATGGCGGCATTGCGCATCATGGCGGTGGTGGTGATGGTCGTGGTGTTTGTGAAACCTTGTCCCATGACATCGTCCGTGGTCGTGTTTCTTGCAGCTACCGGCGGAGCCGTTTGACGAGCTCCTGTCACAGCACTTCATCATTGCCGACTAGACGCTCTGCCGGATCACGCTATTGCAGAAGTAATATCCCTGCTCTGTGAGCTATCATACTTGTCGAAATCAGCTTGCAGGTGGGTCACGCAGGCCGAGTTCGATCTGTGCCTATTCTAGTCGTGTTCATACGGATACTCCAAGGACTCTCTATATATAGTCAGCCCTTGCTCTCTCTGAGTGATTCAGTGTCAGACGGACGATGGCTAAGTCTGATGTGTTTCGGATCATCGTCACAGACTTTGCCACACTCAGGGACGGCGACACCTCCGCCTCATCTCGGTCAGTGCTAGCGAGGACCGATGAAGCACCGTTGCCATGTTCTTCTGGGTCGCAGCAGGTACTGGTAGCTGCCCCAGCCATGACGCTTGAGAAGTCATCGTGATGCTCGGTTAGAGATTTGCTGCTGCGGAAACCGTCATCAGCCTGTTTGCTATTCCCATCGACAGGGGTTTCTCAAACTGGCGCGTCCTCTTTGTGGCACTTTCCGGATGGGCCACTACAGCAGCCCCTGGCAGCTTGGTCGTCTTGGCTCATATTAAGATGGCCGCTATGCGTCGATGAACCGTCGATGACCGTCAATGAGGTTGTTTCCAGCGGAACGTTATATGTCATCAGAAATGGTAGGAGCATATGTATCCTGAAGAATGCATCCCTATGTAGCCAAAGATGGTGGAAGCGTGCGTATGCCACAGGTTATGTACGGGTCAAGGATCCGGTGTGGTGTCGTGTTACAAATGGCGAGCGCGAACATTCTGTCCCACGATTCTCTTTCTTCGATGGAACCCCCCGTTTGTTTCCTCGTGATGCCGTGAGACTCAGGTATTAAAGTCTATCCTGCCCTGATGTTACATATTCGTCGATACGACGCGAGCAAATGCGGTGCATTACCCGACGTTATATAAATGGCAAGAGCAAAGGGCGGCTTGCCCCTCCTTCCCGTTTAATCTCCACAGCGGGAGGCGGCGACATTCCGCTCCGCTGTCGCTCCGCTGTCGCTCCGCTGTCATCTGACGCTAATCTCTGTTTGACCAGAAGTCTCCGTCCTCGATTCATCGGGTTTCACTCCATGAAGCATGAGCGGAACAAGCATCTCTTCTTCTCCACGGTATCGCCCTCGGTCATCGCTACCATCTCAGCAAAGCCTAGTCTCTACTATACCGATCTGCTGCGGCAACTTTAACGCACAGTAACGCCCACAATGCCCGCTGATTCGAACAAGCAAAGAATGGAGACGCGCGCATTACCGCCCAGAGCTGTTCCTTGACATCTCGCCGGGTATGGTCTGGATTGCTGACCCCCAAAGCAGCACCGCCACCTCCCCTGTCAGGCCAGGCACGATCTCTTGTGTCTTTACAGCACTATTCATGGTGAGTTCCCAACGCTGCCACCGTCACCGCCGGGTGCCGCCGCCTCTAGATAGTCAGCAACGGCGGCACCGTGTCATCATGGTGAACCGGCACTTCTCCGCGGTAGACGGCTCATCCGAGCCGCTTCGCACTGTCAGACCCCTACAGGAATCCGCTCGATCGGCGCTCGATCGGCTTAGCAAGATGCTGAGCTGTAGCGCATGTTTTGACCCGGCTACGTTTGGCGACCCTCCCAAGCAGTATCCACCCCTTGCATGGTCGATCGGAGCGCCGTGTTACGGAGAACTCCAACAAGAGTGAGACCGTCGAGAAAGCTGGGGGAGGAAGACCTCGGTTAGTATTGAATGGAAGTAATGCCCATGTGCAGTGAAACGGTGCCTTTTAAAAATATCGATATTACTTGTAATACCGCCGTCCGTACGGAGTAATGATAATACCACTGCTTGTTAAATTAATCGCCTTTCCTAATCGGGAAATATACCAGGGCAGAGCGCGTCCTGCAACCGCGTGCCGCGTCGCTCCTGCCAGATTCTAGATCACACCGCGTTGTCTCCACCGAACACCAGCCCTCGACTCTAACAGCAATATTACTCCGTACTACCAGGAGCATTTGCTCATTGTCCCCTCTATCTGCTACGAACACTTTCAATCTGTTACTTTCCTTGACCTGCCTCTGCTGCGCTGCATTTCCAAGTATATCGGCATTGTTAGCCCATGCGTGCATAATATATCCCCTGCACAGGGTTGTTCCTCCATCTACTTCCATTAAACACGCTCCACCACCACCACTACCACCCCCCTCCCGTCGTCGCGTTGACAAATCTGCACTCGATTGCTGATATAGGCCTTTTCCTGCTTCAACTATTACCTCGACGGACACGACCTTTTACGCTCATGCATTCGACATCCGACCGGGCATAGACGCACGCGTGAATTTTAAAGAAGCCTTCTTTTCGATTCTCCGCGTCTGATCGGCAGCGCAATGTATCTTCCACGATCCCTGATATCGAAACTCTATATCCACCTCCAGAACACGCGACACCCCCTCTCGCCGCCTGTCCTCATCCTCGTCGCTCTCGAGCCGGATGCACTCTGTGCATGCCGAATTCTGACGCGCCTCCTCAAGCATGACTACATCCCACATAAGATCCACCCCGTCGTCGGGCTCAGCGGCTTGGCCCAGGCCGGTACCGATTTGGTAGCCCCGATGATGGAGTCCCGCGGAGGCAGCGGCGGTGTCGTCGTCTGCCTCGGCGTGGGCGGCATGGTAGATCTGGGTGAGGCCCTGGGCCTCGAGAACGAGGGAGACGATACCCCCTACAGCGGCGTCGATGTCTGGGTCATGGACTCGCGGAGACCTTGGAACCTGGGCAACGTCTTTGGCGGCTTTCCCCTAGAGCCCAATGCCGGCCATGGAAGCTCATACCAGAGCCGGTGCCCCCATGGTGTCGACGGCGGCCAAATCACACGCTCATACAAGCCGGGCAGAGGTGGCGTTGTCGTGTTTGACGATGGCGACATTCAGGAGGACCTCGAGACCGAACGAGACGCCTACCGGGAGCTCCTCGAAATGCCAGATATCGAAGACGACGGCCGAGAGCTCGGAGACGACGATGACGGAGACTATGATGGAGACGGTGGCGAGGAGAGCTTAGCACATGCGGGGCAGAAGAGGAAGAGCTGGACAGATGCCGATGATGATGAGTCCAGCGACGACGAGGGTGGCCGGCCGAGACAGCGGCGGAGGAGCAACTCTGTCAGTGAGCCCCGGATACCATTCCTATCATGGTCCTTTCCATGGCTAAGGCACTAACTTTCGATGCAGTCGAGTTCCATCGCCGAAACCCCCCGACGACCCCGGCAGAGGGGCCTGATTTCCTTGCGAGATCCCGACCACGGTCTCTCCGGTGACCCTATCGAACCTCCATCTGCCGCTCAAGAGCCCCCTCCCCCATCGGCTGGGGCTCTGAGAAGGCGCCTGCTGCGTATGCGCCGGCAACACCAATCCGTCATTGCGCAGTACTACACCGCCGGCTCTTCCTTTTCAGAGCCCATCTCTTCCATGATGTACTCTCTAGCTTCCGAGCTAGGTCGGGAGGACAATGACCTCCTCTGGCTGACCATAGTCGGCGTCACATCTATGGAGCTCTACGGACGCTCATCGGCAGGCGTTGCAGCTCCCGTGAGAATGACCGACAAGAGCAGGCCAACAGGGTGGATGGGCGTGCGCGGAGCTCGGATACGGCAGCTTCTACGAGACGAAGTGAGGCGCCTTAACCCCCTGGAGATTACAAACGGACGTGTCGCTCCAGAGAATACGGGCGTCATCCCTACTACGGCACGAAACCCCGAGGACACCGGTATCCGCCTCTCGCCCGAACCGCGATTCCTCCTTATCCGGCACTGGAGTCTCTATGACAGCATGCTTCACTCCCCATACCTCTTCTCGCGCCTCAAGACGTGGAGCGAGACCGGTATCAGGCGTCTGCACAAGCTGCTGGCCAAGATGGGTGTCAGCCTGGCTCAGTGCAAGCAGAGCTACACCCACATGGACATGATGCTGAAGCGGGAGCTGCGAGCCAAGCTTCTCAAGTACGGGTCCTTGTACAACCTGGACGAAATGGTACCCTCGGTGGATACAGACGGCAAGGACCGTGCCGGTGCCAAGGACGGATGGGGCTTCGTCCGAAGCTGGGGGTGGCGTGCTACCCTCAGTGCCGAGGATGTCGGCGTCGTCATCGGCGCCCTGCTCGAGGTTGGGAAGCACGCACAGTCGAGTGAGCCTGTCGTTACGATGAGCCAAGCGCTACGGGAGGCCGAGGAGGAGATTGACTACACCGCTCAGAGCGATGAGTGGGTCAGCCGTTTCTGGGAAGCGTACGATGCGCTTGAAGAGTAATCGGGCCCAGCACAGCATACACTTGCAAACAAGACATGGCTAACAGGTGGAACAGTATCGACGCTCTCAAGGCGGGCGTCCCTACCGCCCAGCACCTACACCGTGCCATCTACCGTACGGGGACGTCGCTCATCAGCAAGAAGCAGATCAAGCACCTGAGAGCATTCAGGCTCTGTGTAGTCAAGGAGGGGCCGGACGTGGCCCTCTTTACGCACCCTGCAGCGCTGACAAAACTCTCCCTTTGGATCGGCGAGGCCTTGAGCGAGCAAGAGAGGGAGAGCCATGGCAAGCTCTCTCATGGTGGCCGCGGTACGCCTCTGATCGTGGCCAGCCTGGACGAGAAGCGTGGAACCTACGTCGTCGTCGGCACAGGAGGTGGTGGCGGCCCAGACACGGCCATGCTCGACCGAGACGCTGCCAAGCGAAGGAAGGAGGAGAGGGAGGCCAAGGCCAAGAAGAAGGAGGAGTCGCGGAAAGTAAAGGCCAAGATCAGGGAGGAGAAGCAGGCCGCACGGAAGGCGGCCAAGAGGGATGACGATGACGATGAGCCCGAGACAGAGACTGATGACTCGTCTGAATCCGAGTCTGACGAGTCTGACGATGACGACGACGACGACGACGACGACTACAGAGCCGAGACCAGTAAGGGATATGGCCGCAACAACTTTGGGCGAGCGTTTCAGGAGGTGGTGTCGGAGACGAATGCCCGCGTTCGCATAGACAGTTTTGAGAACTGCGTTGTCGAAGTGCGGAAGGAGGACCTGGTCGGCTTCTTGGAGAGCCTGAGTCTCAAGCCGGTGGTGGAGTAGGCCGATAATTGATGGGAACAATGGGAAAAGAGGCGAATATGATGAAGCGAAGGGAATATCATGATGTCTTTTTATGGGTTCGTGCAGGAGTTGTTCATGAAGGGGGGCATTGGTTAATCTGCTTCATACCTGTTCTAGAAGGGGTCACTATGCATTGACGGATGGGTTTTAGTATCATTGGCATCATTCACAGTGAAGAGGAGAATTGTCTATACACTACACCGGCACGTGCGACCGGTTGGTTAATGGTGATTATGGTTCTGTCTCTACCTCCATGTCGTCATTCATCAAACATTCCTCTTCACATATCCTCCTTCTCTGCTATGGAACGTCGAGGTGTGTGGGTCAGAGTGCCAGGCCCCTTTTCTGAGGATTGCGTCCCATGATCTGTATCGGAGTTGCTCGTCTCGGGAGAGTTGTTCTCACAGTCGTGTGGCGGCCGGACAGGTACCTCGACGGGCTCATCGGGACGGCTCAGGCCACGATCTCTGATGAAGACGCAGAGAGCGAGACAGGTGGCCATGAGGGCCACCCACATTGTGAAGACGGACCTGCACCCCACCGTATAAGCTCGAAGTATGGTGTCAGTTTCGTCGGGCGACAGGCCAGACGTCTCCTGGACGGACAGGACCTGGCCCAAGATGCGCTCCTGGACGTCACGAGGCAGGGACACGATCTCCCCAGCGACGACGTGGGACATGACGGCCGTGGAGACGGCGAGCCCGAGCGCACCGCCCACGGCCCTGGTGAAGCTCCACACGGACGTGGCGACGGCCCTATCCTCCTTTGCAGTGCAGGCCTGGATGGCGACGAGGGTAGGCTGGAAGACGAGGCCGATGCCGGCGCCCTCGACGAGGCACACGGCCACTATGACGGCGCGCGGGGTGCCCCGGCCGAACAGAAGGGTGAGGCCGGAGCCGAGGGTCCAGACGGCGTAGCCAGCGCGCACGACCTCTCCGTACCGGCCGAAGTGCGAGATGTACCGGCCCGAGAGCACCGAGACGACGGACTGGCCGGCGACGAGCGGGATGGTCAGCACGGCGGCGTCCATGAGGGACCAGCGCCGCGCGCTCTGGAAGTAGACGGGCAGGAAGTACAGGTTGGAGTAGTACACGGCGCCCATGAGCAGGTTCTGCGACATGATGGTCGCCACCTGCGGCATGGCGAAGAACTTGAGCGGCAGGAGCGGCATGGAGGCCCACCGCCACTCCACCACCACGAAAGCCGCCACGAGCGCCGACCCGGCCGCCAGCAGGGATATCACCACCGGCGAGCCCCAGGGAAGGTCGGCGCCCCCGGACGTGATGGGCACCAGCAGCATCATCAGCCCCGCCGCGCTCGTCGCCAGCCCCAGCCAGTCTATCGCCCGGAGCTTCTCCCTACGGCTTCCGCTCACCTGGCTCGGCGGTATCACCAGGAGGACGACCACGCCGCAGCTGCAGGCCAGGGCGCAGATGATCCAGAACACGCCTTGCCATCGCCAGCTGCGTATCACCCCGGCCGCCAGAAAAGGTCCGACGACGTTACCTAGTCCGACGCATGCGCCTAGGATTCCCTGGTATCTTTTTTTTTTCCACCCCGTCAGTGTTTGGTGTGTCTGGTCGGCAAATAGGTGATGGATGGATCAAGGCGAGACCAACCTTCCTCTCCTCTCCAGAGACACCACGTCCGACACGATGATCATGCACAGAGCCGCTATCCCCCCGTTCCCTATACCGGCTATTCCACGCGCGGCGTACAGCTGCGGACCCGTCCTGGCAAAGGCGCACAGCATGTCCCCCAGTGCCAGCAGGCCGATGCAGAATAGCAGGACCGGCTTGCGGCCTACAATGTCGGACAGGCGGCCGTACAGGACCTGGCACACCGTGTTGGCGATGAGGGACGACGTGCCCGCCCAGGAGATGGTGGACGCGGCATCCAGGTCCCTGCCCAGCACGGGGAGGGCTACGGATATCGAGTTCTGGTCGACGAACGATACGAAGAGCGACAAGGCGAGGCCACCGAAGACGACGAGAAGCTTGGACCGAGGGAGCATGTTGGTTTCCACCCGTACCAGCGGGGCTGTCGCCTCGCCCATGGTCGATGATGGTGCCGTTGCTGTTCCGGATGAGGGCATAGTCAGGCCGTGATGGTAGGGCTCAACGTCGTACATCCATGTGAATCTAGGGAGCCAGGATGTCGTGTATAAGAGAATGGGAGAGGGGTTGGGGGGGCTCTTCCTACATTAGAGTCATGTGTATGTGTATAGAGGAGAGGATGGGAGAGTGGAGGGAAGTCCGGCTTGGGCTCTCCTCTCTCCCCACCATCTGGAAGTAAAGACATACTAGACCACATGTCTGCATTCCCCCGAACGAAGAAGCGGCATTGAAAAGAGAACGGAAATGCATCTGACGCCGGCAACCAGGTTCGGCAAGTGAAGAATTGGTCCGGGCGGCAATCCTCCCGAGCGGCAACGAGGGCGATATAGAGCAGCTCTGGTCGCCGGAGATCCGCAGGCAGCCTGCCATTGGACCAATGTATCTCGGCCCTACCTCTTGGCTTGCATCAGAGCGGGATTCCGCTTGCTATCAGAGACTACAGCAGTGCTGTGCGCGATATGACCGGGCCGGCCCCGCTGGCATTGCACATCTCTGGGCCTTGTCGTCACTCTCGACTATGCACGGAACCCTCGGTCGGCCCATCGGCGGACAGCGGTCTCGACTATTCCTTCATCAATGCAGAAACGCAACAAAAGAGCCATCGAAGATGGGTGACTACAGACAGATGAGCAAAGGTTCCCCGTTTCCTAGGAGGGTCAAGTACGATGCATGAGAATGAGAATCAAGAGGACGGGGCGACGAGCAGATACGAGAGACGAGGTTGTGGACAGAGCCAGTGCCAAGTCTTGGCTAAGGCCGACCAGCCGTCCGACAAATCCGCACAGCCAAGAGGGAAGGGGGGATACGAAGGACTCAGAACTGCAGACGATACTGCATATGCAGGGCAAGAAGAAGATATGATGGCGGAGTAGCCCGTACGCACTGTCAGCCCCGAAGCCGGAGAAGCTTAGACGCCAAACCCAAGTTTGTCGACGAACAGAGCCTGGTCTTGGCTGAGATCTGAATTTCCTCTATACATATGACTACGAGAACTATATTACGGACCTATAAAAGACGAACTACACCATCGGCTGTTTCCCTGTCGATCTATCTCGTTGGTTCTTCTGATCCCACGATGATCCGTGCTTACCACCTTTCTTCTTATACGGCGTTGAACAGATTTAGACGTGGAAGGGAGGATGAGTCTAAACGACTGCGAGAGGGGGAGAGGAGGGGGGAAGCAAAGAAAAAATTTACAAGAAAAAATTTAAATTAAATTAAAAATTAAAACCAGATGGAAAATTATCTGAGAAGATGAGGGAATATGAAGGGGATAAAGAGGGTATCAGTGGGGATATCATTATAGAAATGGCGCGGCAGTTGAACCCGGCTGGTCTGTTGTCGGGCCCTCGGTACGTAGAATCGGAAGATCGGATAAAAGAAGGAGAAAAGAAGTGGACTTTTTTTTTTTTTCCAAGTGCCGATCTACAGACCGGAAATTGCATCGCCGTTGTGAGACATTTCCGCATAGCGCGTTGGGTATCAGTCTATCTCTCGTTGCTCTGTCCTGGTTTGGAGTTGCTGTTAGTGAATGACGTCTATGCTCGTGATGTCGAGCAGATTGATAACGGGGGATAGATTGATAAACGAGTACGCATACCCTACGGTTCTGCCTAATCGAAGAAGGAAAAGAAGCCTTGCGTTGGATACTGAGGGCTGGCATGGCGTTTGAAAGCATATACTAAGATGGAAAGTGTATTTCTACTGGTTTTAGATATCATGTACGTCTCGTGTATAGTCTCCGTTCAGTATGAATATCTCCTGAGCTGATGCTTAACCGGCTTGCTGATATGACGGTAGATAATCAGAGCTTTAGCTGTCTTCTCTCTGCGTTTACCACTGGAGGACCTCTGTTCTACATGCGATAGTACGACGGACAAGATCGAGTCCACTCATGTTTGAGCGAGAATCGAAAATGACAGCGACGGACGCGTACCATGATGAAATTTGAAAGAAACAGAAAGTTGCGTCCGTGTGAGCGTAGCACTGTGATGATCGAGGTTGTGTGGGCACGCAATATCAACGTCATCATCATCATTACTGCATGTCTCATGTTTTAGGCAGCCAGTAAACAAGCTTAGTCATCCGAACTGGCCGTTTCTGACGCTGCACGTTGCAAGTACCGACGCGGGGCACTCTTTTAGCCTCCTCCCATCACTGACGGACGAGCTTCGTGGGATAAAGGCAACGACCGTTATCAACCAGCAGACCCGGCCACATTGTCACCTCACACCACCAACCCCTCACCACCGAGATTAACTACCAAAAGGCAGGTTATGTCAGGCTGGAGCTGAAACAAGGTCGATACTCCTCCAGTCTCCATACTGCACGGCTTCCACGACACTCAACGTCGACAGCACAGCCAGTCCTGTCACCATGGCACCCGCCGAGGAGCGCCCCGACGGCAACGCACTCGTGTCGACGGGCGGCGGCTCCGAGCTGCAGGCAATCTTGCACCCCCTCGTTCTCCTCTCGATATCCGACTACGTCGCCCGGCATACTCTGAGGTCGCAGAGCGGCCCTCTGGTTGGCGGTCTCCTCGGCCAACAGAACGGTCGGGAGATCACGATTGAGCACGCCTTCGATGTCCACATGATCTCGACCACATCTGGGGAGTACAATGTAGAGGCCTACCACTTCCAGAAACGCCTAGAGCAGAGTACGTCCCCTCCCCGTTCCTTGCTCCACCCCTTCTGATCTCCCGGGGCATGTCTGGCGCACACATAGCGGAGAGTTGACTGATCCTGACCTGCTCGCTACCAGTGAGAGTCGTGCACAAGGACAGGCAGCTCGACTTTGTCGGCTGGTATACGCTCCTCCCCTCGACAGGCCCCGACGAATCCGTCCTCGACGTGCATCGATTCTTCCTGAGCAGCTACAACGAGTCGGCTGTTCTGCTGGCCCTCCACCCCGACGAGATTCAGGGACGCTCGGCCGGGGGCAAGTTGCCCGTCACCATCTACGAGAGCAACTGGGAGGTCGAGGCCGGTGGCGGTGGCGGCGGATCGGTCGAGGACAAGACCATGGACGACGTCGAGACGACGGCGGGTCTTCAGCTCCGCTTCCGCGAGCTCAACTACTCTGTCGAGACGGAAGAGACGGAGATGATCAGCATGAACTACATTGCCGGAGGCGGATCCAGTGCCGCAGCAAAGGCCGCGGCCGCAACCAGCGCCTCGACTCCCGGGGAAGACCGCCCCCCGCGCTCCGTAGAGATCGATCCCAAGGGCAAGAGGCGTCTTGTCGAGAGCCCGACCAGGCCGACGGCAGCCGTTGCCACCGAGGACGACGAGGACGACGAGGATGAAGGCCTCACCCGCGACGAGGAGGAGATAATCTCTACACTGACCACCAAGGCCAACGCCATCCAGATGCTCAAATCTCGCATCGACCTGATAAAGACATATCTCGAGCGTCTCCCCCCCGCGGACGGCGAGGACACTCCTGATATCACCGACGGTGACAATCACGACGATGACAACACCACCACCCCGTCCCTCCCCATACTCCGCCAGATCCAGGCCCTCGTCTCCCGCCTCGACCTCGTCATACCCTCAGACAAGGCGGCGTTCGAGAAGGAGATGCTCCAGGAGTCCAACGACGTCCGCGTCGTCGAGCTGCTCAACAAGATCATGCAGGGAACCGAGCAGGCGAGAGAGGTAGGCAAGAAGTACGCTATCATCGAGGCTTCCAAGCAGCTCTTCCATCGTGGGTCCGCCGCCGCCGCCGCCGCAGACTACCACATCCCTCCCAGTCTCAGCGGCATGGCAGGTCCGGGGGATATCATGATGAAGTAGTCTCTTCGTCTCTGCCCTTATTTTTCTTCGTTCCATCAAAAAGATACAACGTGCATGCACAAAACACAGAAATGCAAATCTGCCTCGGCGTTAGTGGGAAAGGGTAAGAGAGACAAAAGTAAGAAGATGGTACACGTGCTTTATTCGATATTACCTTGCTTCAAGGTAGCATAGCGGGAAAGGAACAGAACAGTGATATTTCTACATGACCATGACCACCTTTTTCTTCTTTTTTTTTGGTTTCCTGGGTGCGATTTGAATGTGCTCTACATCGGTAGCCTATAGAAAAAAGGTGTATGCACAACTCCAATCTTGACGAATGATGGGGGTTTTTTTCCCCATATTAACAAGAAAAAGAAGAAAAAAATTGTTTTGAGCAGTATAAGATGGAATACGACGACAACATTCAGTAATGAGAAATGAAACGAAAACAAAGTGGGAAATGAAGATGAAAAAGAAAAGAAGTAAAAATGCTCTCATCTCCTTTCCCCCCCTCCCTCTCCTCTTTTGTTTTGCTTTTTTTTTTTTTACACTCAAGCCACAGCAAACGTCAAGCTACTCCATCAAAAAGTGCTAGTGGCCAATCTGCTAGCAGCATTCCTGGCGTCGAGACGGTCATCATCGTCGTCGTCCGGGGAAGTAGTCGCGGCGGGGCCGGTCAAGGAGGCGGGCTGGACGGTGGCGATATCCGAGTCCTGCCCTTCGGGATGGAGCTGGTCGGGGTCGGCACCGGGGAAGCCGCTGATCAGGCTTCCGGTAGAGGTGGTTCGGGAGGTGGCGTCGGAGCGGCGGGGCACGCCGCTCCAGGCGTCGCCCTTGGGGCCCTGGCTGGCGGCGAGGTTGGAGCGGCGGGAGGTGGGGTGGGCCTCGCGTCCGAGGCGGCTGAGGCCGCCCGAGGCGTCGATGGCACGGATGTCCGGGCGGATGTTCTCGAGCAGGGCAAGGGTGCGGCGCTCGGCCTCGATCTCGCGGAGGACGAGCTCGCGGATGCTGCTGCGCAGGTCGGCCGCCGTGCGCGCGAACCACTTGCGGCGCTCGTGCACCAGGTTCTGCGTCACGGCCGTCGTCTTGTTGTGCAGGTACGTCTCGTGGTGACGGGCCTCGTCGAGCGCCGTGATGGCTTCGTCCACCTTTTCGCGCCGCACGCTCGACCCGGCCTTCAGTCGGTCGGCGGCGTTGAGCTTGCTGCGCGTCGCCTCCTGCGCTTGGATGAACTCGCGCATCAGTATCTGCCGATTCGTCAGGGTCTCCTTGACAATGAAGGCGTCATCCGAATGCAGCTGGAACGGGTCGCCGATCGTCGTCGCCTCCGCCGTCGCCTGCGCCGCGTGGTAGTCGCCCATGGTCTGGATTGCCTTGCCCAGCTTCCGGTACGCATTCGCCAGTCCCGGGTGGGGCTCCTGCACGCTCATGCTGCCCAGCTTGACACCGAACTCGGACTCGGATAGTCCCAGGCCTGGCGAATTTGTTTTCGTATGTCAGTCATATGCTGGAGAGTTACGGTCTCATTGACGATGCAAGAAAGAAAAAAAAAAG